ACCTGTCACTCAGCAGTTTATTCTGACACTTCCTTTTTAACATCATGTATTGCTAAAAACTAAAGATCTGCTTAGTTTGACACAAGCTTCTTTAACTTTCACGTGCTGATTTATTTCTTATTGGGACAAAAATCACCAAATATATACTCCATTGTTTTTGTAGTCCTCAGATGATAACACGGAGGTCAAATTCAGAAGCAAAGGACCAGAGCTAGGTTTATGCTAAAGACCTTGCCCAGTGATGCAGAAAAGATCCATCCTCCTGGCAGAATTATAAACCATGGTTTCTAAAACAAATGTCTGAAACCATTTGGAATTCTGTAGCATGTTTAGGAGTATAAACACTGTGCATATCCTAAGTGGGTGACTTAATACCACAGTAGAGGTGTTATCAGTCATATTTCCACCTTCGAATCTTAGTGGTAAAGCAGTAAGTGTAGCAAGAAACCACTAACAATGAAATGCTCATTTCTGAAAAAATCCTCTGAGTTTGTCTTGCCAGTACTTAAATGTAAAGAGTTGATGTTGGCTGCATTCCTTTGCCATGTTACAATATCTTCCTCAATGTGCTACCCTTTTGGTACCTGGTTGTGACACTGGAGCAATTTACAACAATGTGAGAGCCATTATCCAGGGCAGAAGAGGAGAGTTTTTGGTATATCTCCTGAAGGGCCCCATCAAGAATTCTTTTCATGGGCCTTTGGGTTCCTGTGTTCTGACACCTGAAAGTTGAGCATTTTGACTATAAAAAAATCAACAACAACATTACCCTCCAGTAGAGTCCAACTCATAGCAAACCCATGTGTTACAGAGTAGAACTGCTCCATAGAATCTTCATGACTTTAATCTTTATGGAAGCGGAATCCCAGGCTTTTCTTCCATGGAGCCACTGAGTGGATTCAAACCTCCAACCTTTCGGGTAGCAGCCAAATGAAAACTGTTTCATCACCCAGGGACCATTATTTAACTATAGAGCAATGGAAATTTCAAAGGTAATGAATGGATTTTTTTTTCTCTACTAATCAGGAACCCATTTCCATCAATTCCGACTCATAGCAACACTATAGGACAGAGTAGGACTGCCTGCCCCATAGGGATTGCAAAGCTGTAAATCTTTACAGAAGCAGACTCATTTTTCTCCCCTGGAGCATCTGGAGGGTTTGAACCACCGACATTTTGGTTAGCAGCTGAATGCTTTAACCACTGTGCCATAAGAGCTCCTACTAATCATCAACTCAAAAAATCAAACTCATTGCCATTGAGTCGTTTCCAACTCATAGTGACCCCCTTTGCGTTTCCGAAGAGGTAAGTCTTTACAGAAGTGGATTGTCCAGTCTTCCTTCTGCGGAGTAGCTGGTGCATTTGAAATGCCAACCTTCTGGTTAGCAGTCAAATGCCTTAGGCACTATGCCACCAGAGATCCTTCTAATCATCAGGGAGGATGCAAAAAAATCCCAAATCAAAGGGAGAGGAAAATGCCTTCAGATCTTTAAACAGGAATATTCAAGTCTTTTATCTGCATAAAGGTTTCTAACTAGGAGGAAATTGGAAGCAGAAATAGGCAAGCTAATGGCATGTTTAAAATCTTTGATCCTTAGAGTTGGGGTGAGTATAGAAGGGGAGTGGCTTGAGGGATGGTAGATAAAAACCTCAGACATTCTGCATAAGGATAGGAGCTAATTCAGTGTACTTCCTGTAGAATTACTCTATTAAGGCCAATCTAGGGCCCCCTTCCCAGTAAATCACTGTTTCTAAAACTCCAGAACAGAAATTTTAGAAATTTTAATTGTCCTTATACCCTTTTCATGTTTACCTAGTACTATAAAAATTATCCGTCTTAGTTTAAAAATTTAATTTTT